CGAAAAATTATTTATTAATAATTATTTTATTAACAATTATTAATTTTTAACCGTAACGAATTATAACGAACACAACGCGTATATCACTGCGCGTGCTAACTTATCAAGACACTGCCGTGTCTTCTGATTCTAGTCTAGTATTTTCCGGTCTAGTACTTTCCCGAGATTCCGTTTTCCGAAATCCGACTGTCATGAGACAGCACCCTAAGCCGCAAGTCAGAACGTCAGAAGCCTTAACCAGTCTTAACAAAGTCATTCAAGTTGACCAACTTTATCGATTATGGGTGCGGTCCACTTGGCGCTACAAACGCTTCAAACCTTTTCACTTTCATATGCTTTTAATTCGATTACTCTTAGCATTCCTCAAATCTAATAACCTCAACATTTAACACTCCCTACTCAACCCTTTCCCCGCGGTTGGGCTGGGATATTTGTGCACGATTTACGCGGGAACTTTCATTTCCTCTATTTTTACTCCGTTCCTTTAGCGCCTAGTTTCGCGACTCGCCGCACATGGCGGTAGCTTTCGATACTGACTATATCGACTCTACATGAGCTCGGGGCCATTTTACGAAAGATTAAGATTAAGGCCGGTATTCATAGTCGGTTCTTATTTCAAGACCGTCTTAAGTAATGTCTTAAGACGCTAATGCAGCCCTCTGATTGGTTCGTGACTTCTTAAGACTGTACTTAAGACGGTCTTGAATATAAGATTCGACTATGAATACCGGCCTAAGACTTTCATATGCTTCTATAGAACGATCCATTAGCACTACTAATGCTGCCAACAGTATGCGAATGGACCAATTTTTGAAGCGTTTTGAAGCTTAGTACGTATTTTGTAATTACGGATAAAATGAAAGTCATGTTAACGTGCGCTGTGAAGTTTTTTTAGAATAGCTTACTTATATTTATGATGAAGATAATAGCATCCTCTTCGGAAACTTCTAGATTATGAATCATTCCAATATCTCCTTCATGTAACCTTATAATCGGCATAGTTTATACAATTTTTATTTTTAATAATATAATATACACAATATACCATATAGCACGATTTGTAGTAATATATGTAGCACGATGCCACAATATAATAATATGTAAATTTAAAAATCAACTTTACAGATATACTTTCGTTCGATTATTATTACGCTTTCCCGCGCTTTGTATATTCAAACTAAACGCTTCAGTTAAACTACCTCTCCAAGCAGTAGCATTGGAAGCAATTGGAAATAAGGTGGAAGTGGAAACCTCTGATGTATTAATGACGTCGTACGTGCTATTGGGACACATTTGAAGTTCCATGTGAACCGGTTAAAACAACGCTCCAAACGATTCGAAGCATTTGTAGCGCCAAGTGGACCGCACCCTATGACTTAAGATCGTTTAGAACTACTGACTTGTGGCTTATTGTAGAAGGCCTATTAAACACAATGCGAAGGAATAGCGATAGTGATAGGAGTAACACGATTTAAACCTATCAGAAAGTGTATATTTCAGTGTATCTGATTTCTGATAGGTTAAAATCGTGTTATTCCTATCGCTATCGCTATTTCTTCGCATTGTGTTTAATGGTACATATTCCTTTGAGCGTGTCACGTTTTGCGTCGTCCATCACGTCACGCTTCGCGTCGTCCATCGCGTCACGCTTCGCGTCGTCCATCGCGTCACCACGCGACGCGAAAGAGAGAAAGAGTAAAGTTTATATATGTACACAGCCTCTCTCTTTCTCTCTTTCGCGTCGTGTCGTGACGCGATGGACGACGCGACGCGTGACACGCTCAGTGGAAACGTACCATAATGATACATTTCCACTAAGGCTGGAGTCCCATAAGGTGTATTTATCCCGTATCGCGTAACCGCGTAACCAATCAATAATCAGTAAAACGCGAAACCACAACAGCGGATCGCTTCTGATTGGTTATACAGTTACGCGATACGCGGTAAATATACCTCGTGGGACTCCAGCCTCAGGGTGATGTCCCATGCAGCGGATCGTGCGTAAGCGGATTCGCGTATCGCCAATCACAGAATTATTCTCTTAGATCTGTTTGCAAATTTCGCAAGCA